CAAAACAATAATAAATTGGTCATTTCAATCCACGACTGTTTGTGGGATACTGCTGTGCACAATTGGCTGCCATGTTTCGCCCACAAATATACGGTCAATTCACTTTACAGTCTATTCTGTGAAGCGCTTTGAGACGTCGAGAAGACGTGAAAAGCGCTATATCAAATACAAGGATTATTATTATTATTATTACATGAAAGGCCCTATCCAAGTGGAACTTGTTGTTGTTAAACATGTTTTAAACTTAGTTTTGGGGGTAAGACCAATTTTCATGATTTTCAGCCAATCTAACCAGTTGACACATTTTTACACATCAAAAGTGGGAAGATGGTTTCTGAACAGGAAAACTCACCAGCCGTCCATTGAGGAATAGTGCCCCAAACCATCAGCCATTCTAAGTGTTACAATATTTGTGAAAAATAATCTGGGGAAATAGTTTATGCCATAGAATGTGTAGAGGTGAACAAGGCAAACTTTTCTCCTTGCTGCCCTTACCAGGGAAACTCCTCACTAAAACAAGGCTCATATTCCAGGATTGGATTACTTACCTTTTTAAATGTTCAGTTTAACAGATCCAAGTCAGCATGGTGTTTTTAGCCCTCAACATTCATTCAATCAGACAGCTTTATGCCATTTCCACCGGTGGCACGATTTCTCCTCATGTTTGCTGACACATTGGATGCCAAATTTCTGACAGGAAATTGAGTTATAAAACTTTCCCACCAAAACGAATACCCTCATTGAATTTCATGGCTAAGGTGCTAAAACCTACAAACTCAATAAATGTCAATTATGTTTAGATATATGTATTTCTTTTGTCAATTTATATTACACCATGACATTTTGCTGGCTCGCCATTGATTTTTCTGGTGGGATAATTTTGGGGGGAATGGTTGTTTTTTAATACAAGGAGGGTCAAGGAGGTTTGATAGTGATACAGAATCGTCGCCGAAGTAATAAGTCTGAGTTGGCATGTCTACTGAGAACCCGAACAGGGTCTAACTGCCCCCAGAGTGATCCCAAAAAGTAATAGGATCTCCTTTGGCGGGCAGTGTGAATGAGCCACCTATAGTTAGAAAGGTATAGCTGCCAACCCTTGGCACATCACTCGGGATGAGAGTTTTATGAGCACAAAGAGTGAAATGGATTGCAGGTTATTGAAATATATAGAGAATATGTTTATTTTGAAAGAGAGGGATATAGTGAAACAGGTTACATTTCCCAGCCAAAAAGTGTGAGACTTGGCACTCCTGAGAAAGGGAAGAAGGCATGGGAGAAAGGAGCCCTGTTTTTATCTGCTGACCCAATGTGTGTCCCCAGCTCCACTATTTGTTCAGTGTTTCCAGTTATTTAACATCAACACCACATCAAATAGTACCAGACCTGTTGAGAATCTGTAATTTTCAGTGAGACCCAATGATTTTGTAGCTTTTGTTTCAAACTTTTCGACTTGAGTGGACTGTGATCGTTCACTTTGCTTTTCTCAAAATCTCACTTTTGGTTCAGGGATGAACTTAGCAAGATTGTTGATTTAATTTTACTGAAATGTTACTGTATTAACTAGAGAAATGGAAAGCACACACTGTATGGTCCAGTATTAGTTTGAGGTTTCATAAAACAAAATCACAACATTATTTCCCCTTGAGAGTCTTGGCCCACCTCCAACCTGCAAATACATTTCGACTACACAATATATACTTGTACCTGGTCATTTTATCAGGTTTATAAACTGAGAAATCAATTTTAATGGGAGAATGGTAGGTTTGATATTAAATTGGTAGAACTATGCCAGCCTGGTTCAGTTGGTAGCACTCCTACCTGTAAGGGTTGTAGGTTGGAGTCCTGTAGCTCAGTGGTTAGAGCACTCGCGTTGCAAGCGAGAGACCAGAGTTCAATTCCAGGCAGGGCGAAACCTTGGGCAAGTTTCCTTACTCCACACGCCTAATAATAATCCCTCCAAAACCAAAAATAAATTGGTCATTTTCAATCCACGACAGTTTATGGGACATTGCTGTGCGCAATTGGCTGCCACGTTCGCCCACAAATATAGTCAATTCACTTTACAGTGTGTTCTGTGAAGCGCTTTGGGACATCCTCAAAGCAGACATCCAAAACTTAGCACTGTATTTTAAGCATGTGCCATTCACCAAGACTGAAGAATGTTACAAATCTGAACTTCCTAGGACTTCAGCCTGTGCCAGTGTTTGGATAAATATTAAAGTACTACTATAGTAGAATGCTATGAAACTAACTTCTGTTGTAAATTTATAATTGATAGCATATCATAGTGTACATACAAACCCTCATGCATGCCTTTGTCACCTCTCGTCTGGATTACTCAAACGCACTCGTCACCCGTCTCCCCAGCTCCACTATTCAAAAGATCCAGCTCATTGAGAACTCTGCCGCCCGCATACTGACCCGGACCAAACTCCGTACTCACATCTCACCACCGGATCGACTTCAAGATCCTCACTTGTGTTCAAATCCTTTCACTCTCTGGCATCTCTCTACCTTTCCGACCTCCTCACTCCTCAATCCACCACCTGACACCTCCGCTCGACTGGCACCGGCCTCCTGCTCGTCCCTGCAAGGATTATTATTATATCCTCACATGGCCTCTTTGGGGGGGGGGGGGGGGGGTGTCTGACACGTGTGGAAACCCATCATCATCAATCATGCTTAAGAGCTTCCAATCCAAACTGAGAAGTCCATGTGTCCCACCTGCACATGGGAATCCCAGAGACAGATTGTCTGAGTGGGATGCGCACTCTCTCCCCGGAGCGACGCTTCCCGCTTACCTAATTCCAGAAAATATTGGGCGCAGTTTGGCAAGAGGCAAGGTTTTGGGGGACCCGAGTGCGCGTTGGGGGGGTGGGGGGGTGGTACTGGGGTCAGGCGCTGACAGCATCAGCATCCAAGGCTGCACTCTCCACCTCTCAAAGCCAGTCAGGAACCTCGGTGTTTTGTTCGACCCTGAGCTGTCCTTTCTCCCTCATATCTGCGCCACAACTGGCACCGCCTTCCATTACCTCCGGAATATCGCCAGACTATGGCACTACCTCACCCCTCACGCTGCTGAAACTCTGGTCCACGCCTTTATCACCTCAAGGCTGGACTATGGGAACTCTCTCCTCGTCGGCCTTCCCGGCACCTCCCTCCACACTGCAGGTCATTCAGAACTCTGCAGCTCGTGTACTGTCCCGCACCAGGCTTCACGACCACATCACTCCCACCCTCGCTCGCCTCCACTGGCTCCCCATCCCCCAGAGGATCGAATTCAAGATCCTCATCCTCACCTACAAGGCCATTCACGGCCTTGCTCCCTCCTACCTCTCCAACCTACTATCCCCTACCTACCTGCCCATACCCTCCGTTCCTCTGGCTCCGGTCTGCTCCACATCCCCCGCCCCAACCGCCCTACCATCGGTGGCCGGGCCTTCAGCCTCTCAGCCCCGAGGCTCTGGAACTCCATCCCCCAGTGCCTTCGCCACCTCCTCCCTTTCCTCCTTCAAGGCCGGTCTCAAGACCTTTCTCTTTGACCGAGCCTTCAGCTCCCCTCTTGACTCTCTACCCCATCCTCGCTCCCTCCCTTCCCTCCCCTCACCCTGACCATTTCCCCCCTCCTCTCTCCCTCCCTTCCCTCCCCTCCCCTGACCATTTCCCCCTCCTCGCTCCCTCCCTTCCCTCCCCTCCCCCTGACCATTTCCCCCCAATGCTCGGGTCCCAACCCAACTGTCCAGCGCCTTGGGACGTCCTCCCGACGTGAAAGGCGCTCTATAAATGGAATCTTGTTGTTGTTGTACTGCTGGAGTCTGACCGGCTAAGACTTGCCATTGAGACAGAAACAGAAGTGGCTGGGGACGGCCGGCAGGTCAGGAGGCAGCGTCCGCGGAGAAGGGAGAGTGAGGCAAACGTTTCGGGTCCCACGACCCTCGGTCAGAACTTCGCCTGAAAGGCCGTCCGCCGCCCAGCGCCCCGGGACGTCCTCCCGACCTGAACAGCGCTATATACGTATACGCGGGTAATCTTGTTGTTGTTGCGGAGACCCTCCCGGGCGGCCCGGCTCGATCCCGACATTGCGCTGCCAGACACGTCGCCACCGACCACCGCACGACCGGAGTTTTGCCGGTAATTGAAACACCGTTTAGTAGCCCAAACCCGAGCCCAAAAGTAGCCCAATATGACGCGTCGCCTCCTGCTGGGTCGCGGCAGAGCGACTGGTTTAGTTCAGTGCTTTTGAAACTCTGTAAGAGAAGGAAGGGGGGGAAGGGAGGGGGCGAGAGAGAGTTTAATCAGGTTAAAGTTTATGAAACAAATAAAAATGAGAAAACACGCCCAAAGCCACGTTTTCACGCACCAGCCAAAAAAAACCGCCCAATCTGGCCACATTGCTCACCGGCCGCGGCCGCCGCTGGTATTTCGACACAAACGATAAAATTCAAACGCCAACTGCCCCGGCGACTACGGCGGCCGTGCGGGTAGCGAGAGCCGCGCGCCCGCTAATTCACGTGGTAGCTGGGCGGGCGCAATGACGTCACGCGAGGCGCGGGGAGAGCCTGCTGAGCTCGGTGAGCGTCAAGGGGCGGGGCCGGGGCGCACTGATGTCACGTGCGGCAGGAGATGTTGGGGAGCGAGAGACGGGGAGGAGTTAAAGCGAGCCGACATGATGTATCGGTGGCTGGCGTCACGGAGAGACGGAAGAACAGGAGGAGGAGAAGAAAACGGAATGACGTTGCAGGGGAGCGTAAGGCAAACGGCGTGACACCGCAAGAGAGGGGGAGCAGGGGAGCAGGAGGGGGGGCGGATCAAGCCGGAGGGGGGCGGGCGGGGTGAGCTGACGTCAGAGGACGGAAGTGTGTGTGGGCGGAGCGCGATGACATCACAGAGGGCAGGAGGAAACGTGCCGTGCGGGGAAACGTGTTGCCGTCATGGTAGGGCACAGGAGGATGGGGCAGGAGGGGGGAGGGCGAGGTGCGGTGCATTGTGGTGTGATGAGCGCCTGGCAACAATCGGCACTGTGACAACCAATGGCGGTGGGTGGGGTGGCCTGAAGCAGCTCAGGCCGGGCTCGCGAGCGGAGGGGCTGAGCCGTTCGTTGCCACAGCGACAGGGAGGGCGGGGGTGGGGGCGGGCGGGCGGGCGGGGCGGGGCTCGGAGGGGGAGGTGGCGGCAGCAGAAGGCCCGCTGGCGGGGCGGGGTGGTTGGTAGGGACTGGCTGCTCTCGCGGTGTGTGCCTATATGCGGCCGACAGGGTATGTGGGTGTGTCTCCTGTTCGGTAACCCTTAAGAGGATAAGCGCCGAGGAAGGTAGGCAGGTGCTGTGTGTGTGTGTGTGTATGTATAGAGGCTCACCGCTCCCTCACCGCTTAGGCCGCTTTGCTCCGGTGTGTGTCAGACAGACAGACAGACAGAAAGAGAGACCGGGTGTTGGCTTCTGTCAGTACTCTGGTCACAAGGGGAGGAGGACAAATACATGTCTGTAAATCCTTAACCCCCTTCCCCCCCCCCCTCCCTCCCTCCCCACTCCCCGTCACAAGGGGAGGAGGACAAATATATATTTTATTTATAAACCCTCCACCTCCTCTCTCGCTCTCCAAACGCCCTACAGTAGACCCACACATGTTGATCTATCTATAATAGAATATTGCTCCCCCCCACCCACCCACCACCCCCTTTTCTCTCTGCTCCCTCCTCCCCCTATTATATATTTTTATTCGGTTGCTGATGATAGGGTGTGCACCCTTGTAGGGTTTGCTGGGGGTGAGAGACACACAGTTGCTTGTTTGCGGTGTTGGTTCTGATGTTGCTGCCGGTGTGTGTGTGTGTGATGGGTGATTGCAACAGGACCGGTCATACATCAAAATCGAGACGCTGCCGCACGGCTGTCTGCTTTAAGTGGTGTCATTGAGTATCTCCCCCCCCCCCCCCCTTCTTCTTAATGTCCTCCCACTGCAGTGTGGGGGGTGTGTGTTGTGTGTGTGTTTGTGTGTGGGTACAAAGAGGAAGAAACTCTTTCCGTCTTGTCACACCGTGAAAAGGGAAAGTGCTTTTTTTTATTTCTTGGGCACTGCATGTGCGGAAGATTGTAAATGCGACGTGATTTTTTTTTTAATCTGTCACAGACCTGCAGCAAACACCGCTCCTGCTCTTCTGCAGTTTTCTCTCAAAATGTAAATTGTTTCCTCCTCTTCCTCGTGGACTCTTGGCTGTAAGCCTCCTTGAGCTGCGCGTGTTTCCCGACGTGAAAGGCGCTCTATAAATGGAATCTTGTTGTTGTTGTTCGCCAGTGGGAAGATCTTTTCGAATGGGTGTATGTGCTTACGGCCACCATCCCCCTCTCCCCCGGCTCCAAGTCAGGCTCTGCTACTGTTAAGCGCTCTTAGGCGCTACCCTGCGTGGAGGGCGCTATACAAGTGCAAGTTGTTGTAAGGTGTGAATATCATTCTGCTCAACCAGATCAATGACCTTCCCCCTTAAATGTGAGATCTGTTTAAGCTGAGATGATGTGATATACTGTATCAGCTTGTATTATTTATTGTTAAACTTTTGCATCTTAATTCACGGGCCGGTGTTTTGCAGAACAATGTGGCATCCAAATGTGTTTAGCAAATATGTTTATTTGTTTACACACTCATGATGCTTTGATGTAATTGGTGATTTGGTGATTGGTGTCCTTTTTTTATAAATGATGTTAAAGTATGAATGTTGTGACCTAAAGTTTACAGTGTGAAGGTAAATCTGTAATAATGATCATTGTCAGTGCCAGGCTTCATAACCAGACACAACTGTTGGCTGCTTTGCACCTGCACTTAGCATTGTTTCGGATATTTATGAAGGTTGTGTTCTGTTTTTATAATTTTACTGCACACCAATGTTCATGGCTAAAGGCTTTCATATCTGTTTTTAGCAATTAACATTTTATCCAATCATTATTATTATTTCTGATTGGGGTATAAAAATGCTTAGGTTCTGTTTTTGAGTTGCGTTCCCCAGATGCCTCATCCTTCCGGTTCTCTTGACAATGATGCTGTTGAGCTAACCAAAAATGTGTGAGATTGATCCCATGCTTACCTTTTTCCACTTTTCCCGGGGGAAGCAATGACTTCTGCTTTTCCTGATGAGAAAGATACGACTGTGATTTCACCTAGAGAGAAATAGTAGACACAAAAATGGAAGCGCTTTCTTTTCTGTTCAGTGGTAGAATGTGTTAAAATAAACCTTTGCACTTAATAAAAAAAGAGAGGTGGCCCAGTGATAGGAATCTTCACCAGAACACATTTTTTTCCTTGTGAAACATTACACGATAATGTAACCTTGGAATTCTACTAAGGGTATATTTTCTAACAGCAGAATACTATTTGGGGGGAAAAATACTATTGTAGCCATATGTTGTATAACAGCTGCTTGTAATGTGAGAAACTATATATAACTTAATAATAATACAGTATGATATTTAGTATTATAAGTGATAAAAAAGACAAGCTTGTATAATTTTTGGTCTTTTCTATTCAATGACAACAACAAAATTATGTTTGTATAGTGCTTTTCACGTCAGGAGGATGTCCAAATCAGCAGTGTACCTGCCATTTTATAACTGCTTCTGAATTAATCATTTATTTCCATTTCTTATGGTTTCATTCCTGCAGTGGTTATGCATTTTTAAGCTCTAATATTAGATTGGAAGTCATTAGTAACCAACCTGCTCTGAGCAAGTTGTCTGCTATACTTACAGAATGTGAAACCTCTTCACTTTTGTTAAATTCTGTGAATGCTTTGAGATATCCTTCAAACGTGAGTGGTACTGTATCAAATACAAGCATTATTATCTGAAACTGATCTTTGTTTCGTGCTGCAAAGTTGTGCTTTTGAACAACTGGAGAAAAGAGGCGGTACAGAGTTAAATATTATCCAGTTTACACTTGATTCAAAGAAACCATCGGTCTTGTTGTTGGGATCTTCAGATGTGTTGTCCTTGGTGGTCATCCATAGATGTGGTTCCCACTCGGAAGAAAGAAGGGGATCCAATTTTGTACCATATGTACCATTCTTTGTATGAGAGGTTAAACCAAATCTCAGCTTCCTGACTAGATGAAAGTTAAGCATCCCATTCTTAAAGAGAAATTCAAATAAGAGATGGGAGCTTTTCCCAGTTTCTTGGAAAGAATACTGCCCCTTCCTCCCAATAAAATTGGTCACTCCTAGCTGTTTGTGGGACATTGTATGATCAAATTAGCTGGTATATTTATCCACAAAATACGTACACTTTATAGTATATCGTGAAATGCTTTGAAATATCCCGACAACATGATAAGTTGCTATATCTCATGTAAAGATTATTATTACTGTATTACTATTTCTGTATGGATACCTCAGTGCAGTGTTGGAAACTTTCTTTAAAATGGAACGACGTTATCAGTTTAAATTCTTTGTTAGGACTTTGGGTTTATAGTTGCATGTCAGTGCAGTGTTGGAAGTACTGCAATGTCAGAGGTGCTGCCCTTCCGATGAAATGTTTAACCAGGGTCTTCTGTCTGTTTGTTAAAGTGCTTTCTACCAATCCCATGATGCTATTCAAAAGAAAAGAAATTTTCTCCCGGTGTCCTCACCAATAATTATCCAAATAAACTACTTTTTACTGTTTAGTTCAGCAATGAAGGTCTGATAGCACCCGCTCTTCTTGTGTTTGTGCTGTGATTAATATGCATACAAGTCGTGTTCATTAATGGCGAATCGCAAGTCTGTCGTTAGAGAGGTTCAGAGTGTCTTGTCAGGTGGTGTACAGAGACCAGCTTACCATTCCTATTTGAAAGAAACATGGATTTTTTTCTCCTGTTAACCTCCTATTTTCCTAATTCCAAATTCAAATCAATCTTTTTGTTTACGGAACATTACAGGTGCATAATATCTGACGTGTCTGCCTATGCATCAACATACAGCTTCAAGTATATTTTGTAAAGCGTTTTGGGATGTTTATTTTTATGATTTATGTAAATGTTGTGGCAATATAATCCAAGTTATTGTTAAAAATATATACATTTTTGTGCTGTTACCAGCACACTCATTTTATAAATAAAAAAATAATAATAATTGGTCACTCAATCCACAACTGTTTGTGGGGCATTGCAATGCACAATTGGTTGCTGCGCTTCACCCACAAAATATAGTCAATTTACAGTATATTCTGTGACATGCTTTGAGGTGTCCCAAAGATGTGATAAGGGGCTCTACCAAATGCAAGTATTATAAATATATAAAGAGGAAGAGGCTGTCCAGGGTAAATGCGGGTCCGCTACAGGCAGAGACGGGGAGAATTATAGTAGTGGACAAAGACATGGCAGAGTCATTAAACAAGTACTTTGCAACTGTCTTCACCTTAGAAGACACTGAAAACCTACCAAGAATAAAGGGGAACCAAGAAGAAAATGTTAGCAAGCAACCTGGAGGAATTAATATTAGTAAAGAAATGGTTTTAGGTAAATTATCAGGTCTTAAAACTGATAAATCTCCTGGACCTGATGGCCTACCTCCTAGGGTTTTAAAAGAGGTGGCTACTGAGATAGTGGATGGCTTGTCTTTGATCTTCCAAAATTCTCTGGATTCTGGAACGGTTCCCATTGATTGGAAGATTGCAAACGTGACACCACTATTTAAGAAGGGTGGGAGAGAAAAGATGGGAAACTATAGACAGTTAGTCTGACATCAGTGGTAGGGAAAATTCTTGAGTCCTTAATTAAAGATGTCATTATGGGATTCCTGGAAGACCATAACAAGATTAGGTAGAAGGGAAGTCATGCTTAACTAATCTTTTAGAGTTTTTTGAAGATGTATCTAGCAGGTTAGATAGAGGGGAACCAGTAGATGTAGTATATTTAGATTTTAAAAAGGCATTTGACAAAGTGCCACACAAAAGGCTATTGCACAAGGTTAAGGCCCACGGGATTAATGGGAACATATTAGCATGGATTGAAGAGTGGCTAATGGGTAGAAAACAGAGAGTAGGGATAAACGGGTCATTCTCGAATTGGCAGGATGT